CGCCCAAAATAGAAGGTGCAGGAGAGACATTCACCTTCAACATGCTCTCCCCGCCGTGGCCCCTTCATTGGTTTCTCGCCTCTTTCTTGGCGACATCGGTGGTGCTGCTGGGGATGGTGGCGGTCGCGCTCGACGCTCTCATCACCTTCACCATCGAGGCCGCTTTGTAGGCTGCTTCCGGCGGAGCGGGATGGTGAAGCGGCGGTGGAGGAATCGGTGGATCTGGAGGCTGCGGGTGGTGGTGGAGCGGGGCTGATGGATCAGCGGAGCTACGGGATGGCGGAGGCTGCAGGATGGATTGGGGGATGGTGGCGGCGTTGGGTGGGCGAATTGGAGGATTTGGGGGATTTGGTGGCGCCGTTGCTGCGAGAGACGGCGGAGCCAGTTATATATATGGCGCTGCAATATTACCAAAAATATCCCCACCGTTTCATTTATGGGATGCACGGATGGCGGGGCATAATGGTAAATTCAGAGCCAAATATTGGAGGTGGGAAGGCCGCTTCATACACGAAATTTTCGTATGCGCGTGCGTAATTTTTCCGGTATGCGCCTCTCTGCTCGAGGTGCCTCTTTTTTTTACATTTTTTTTTCTAGCTATCGAAATAATAAAATAGTGCCGGATAATAACCAAATTTTGAATATTGTGGACCTACTTGTTTAGGTGATAACCAAAATTTGGATTACGATGTACTTACTTGTTTTAGGGAATAACCAAAATTTTAAAGTTTAGCTATCAAATTGCTTAGGACATGTTAAGCCCAATAATCTATATTAGTCCGAAGGTGATCTATAATAGAACATGTTTTAAAGTTTAGCTGTCAAAAATTGTTTTGGTGGTGATTATATATAGTAAGTACCAAATAACTTCTACTAACCACGAGGTTCTCTCTCTATGTATGTAGATCAATCAACACCATCATTACTATGTATGTATAGTACTCTGGAACATACTCTACATCGATCACCCACATTTCTTGCTTAGTAATCGTTGTGGTAGTTGTTGACAATAGAGATGGCGACGATATCCCACCCATGATGAAACGAAGAAGAAAAACTTGATGTCGCTCAATCTCCCGATTTAGTCATATCATTTAGCGGAAAAAGCAGGGTTGGATACCTATAAGTAGGGATGAAAACGGATCGGATACGAACGGATAACTAGTGTTTGATAAAACTTTCTCAAATGGGAAAATGAGCTATGTAACAATTGTATATCTTGCTGAGATGATCAAACTTGGTATTCAGAGTTTTCTCATCTGAGGTCATTTAGTGTCTCATTTGAGCAAGTTTGACCAAGTCAAATTTGGTCAAATGAAAAAACAACACTTTGACTCTAGTATTATGAACTCTAAATGACTTCAAATTGAAAAGTTTTGAATACCAAGTTTGTTCAACTCATCAAGATCTACAATTATTGTTTTGGTCAACTTTCCATTTGAGATAGTTTGGATAGTTTCGATAGTTTCGATGATATTACATCCGTATTTGATATCCGCCTAAGATATCCGTTTTAGTATCCGTATCCGAAAAAAATTACGGATATCCGAGTAACTATCCAGATAGGTGTTCATATTTGTTCGGTCGAACGGACGGTCGAATAAATATCCGTACCGTTTTCATCCATACCTATAAGACATAAGGCATTGTACAACAAAAAAGAGATGGGAGATCACGCGTTGTTGAGTGAAGAAGCAACACAAGCTTTATGCAAGAGTATGACTTTCTTCAAAGAGGACATTTGTCATTCATGTTGGATGAAGAATCTATATTAACCTGTTGCCGTTCATGTCTAGTAATTGAATAAGATGTTTTACTTCGATAATCAACTCCATTTCAAAAGTTGATGGTTTCATAAGTGTTCGACTCAAACTTATCCCGCTTAGTGTGATTTGGTCTTGAGTACCAAATGATTTGTACCATTCCTAGAGGTTCATCTCTAGATAGGTACCTAGATCAATCGACTCAAGCGTGTTATGGTACACATGATGGTGATTTTGTGGTGACTACCCATTGATGTCTAGTAATGCTTCAAGAAACTACCTAGTAATCATATAAGATGTTCTACATCGATCAACTCCATTCAATATATGATGAGTACATAAGAAGAATATATGACACGAAAGAAAAAATCTTGACAAGATTAGTTTTGAATTCCTCCGTGACACGGTCTTCATAGACCAAAGGCATATAAGGAAAGGTCCACCGATCGGTCTTGGGAGCACACGCGAATAGAATTGGGAGCACTACCCGAAGGCCCAGCGGTCAAACAGATGCTCTTTGGAGAAGGCGTCCACCTTCAACCATTTAATATGTAGTTCGGACATGACAAATGCTAAACTACTCATCATCGCTATCAACCTCAACAGGACAGCTTCTTCTTCACTCAAGTACTCCATCGAGTGTGTCATCCTCTACCTCGTCACCCTCATCTTCACTAGTAGTCTTTGATTCATTTTCCTTTCTAAGTCGAGCAACCTCAAAGAAGCATCAACAAGAAGGCTAGCCTCATCAACTCTGTTCAAAGGCATGTCGGGCAAGATCTCGAAAACTTCGGTCTTCGCCAAAGTCCACACAGACATGTCTGCTCTTGATAGGGTGCAGCGATGGATACGACACCATCTATTTCAGAAACATTGTACAAATGATTTATGCTTAAATGTCCGGACAATCCGCCAATTTGTTCCATTCTTAATATCTCGCAAATAAAAACCATGTAGCTTGAGTTGCCAAAATAAAACAGTCTTTCTTGTACCACACAGTCGCCAATATTGATGCTTTTACAAAACCCATCATCCCTTCTCAAGCAGTATGCTTACCATCCAATTTGTACCAGTCACATCTAAAAGAACAACAGTTCTTTTTGTACCACCACCCTTGGCGTGGTACTCTAACTCAATAATCTCTTTCAATGTACCATAAAAATCAATCATCTCACTTCAGTATGAGCTTGCACAGCCACCCCCGGAGTTTTGTGTCTTCTTGTTTTTGTCACGCTCGGCGGTGCAAGATCACTTTACACCATTGACAACACATGTGGAGTATGATCTAACTCTAAGGTCGTGGGCCACAAGCTAGGGCAAATATATCATCATCTACCTCTTCTGATGCATTCAACCTCCACATCTGCAAAAAGGAATGTCTCAACACAAAATAGTTATCTACAAGATAACTAATAATTTAAGATAAGAATAAGATAGATACTAACATAATTCCTAAACCAACTCGCAAATCCATGCTCTGTCCTTCTTCCAAGGTCTGCAGCAGCACACCCCTATTCATCAATTCATCTTCAAACTTTCGTAAACTCAATATATAAAAAAAAAGTAAGTTGCTAATCTGAAAATAATTAAGAAACAAATGTAATATACAAAATAGCGAATATTTTAGAACATACTTTATGTACTTCTCAGCCTGATCACAATTATGGAGAACATACCAAGCCAACTTATCAAGTTCCTCGGAGTATGAAAGATCAAATGCACCAATAAGATTAACACCATGCCCAAAAACATCAACAAAGATAGGTGATTGATCCGAAAATCCAACATTTCTTAGGAGTCGATTAAACCTTGTCTCTACATCATCCATATATCTCGAGCAAAATGTGAGGGCTTCATTTGCCACATAAGCCTCTCGCAATTGAGCCTTCAGGCGTACCTTGTTCCTAATGACCTTTTCAATGTATACAAGCGCCGTTCAATGGGGTACATCCACCCAAACTGCACAGGTCCACGGACCATGGCCTCATCGAGCAAGTGGACAGCAAGGTGAACCATGACATCAAAAAAGCAGGGGGGAAGATTTTCTCAAGCTTGCACAATATGACTGGTATTTCAGTCTTCATTCGAGCCAAGATATCTTTGTTCAGTTTTTGGCTGCACAATTCCCTAAAAAATTTGCGAACTCAAAGAAGTGTTTGATATATATCATCATCCAACAGCCCTCTCATTGCTAATTATAATCCTTTACAAATGAGAATGTGGCGGGTCATGAGTTTTCGTGCCTTGCCACTTGATTGAGTCGAGATTTAAGCATCTTTGTATATTTGAAGCATATCCATCTGGAAACTTGGCCTCCTGCAAGAAATTACAAAATTGAGTCTTCTTTGACTTGGACAACGTATATCGAGCTTTGGGCATGTCATATGAATCTCCACTATCCTGTAATTGCAACTCGTTTCTAATTTCCAAATCAGCCAGATCGAGCCTTGCATTAATCGTGTCCTTTGACTTCCCTTTATGTCCGAATGGTACCAAGGAGGCTTTCACACATTTTTTTTTCAATATGCATGACATCCAGATTGTGTCTAAGCTTTAGAGTTGGCCAATATGGTAAGTCCCACAAACAATTCCTTCGCCCCAAAAATTGGCACACGATTGCTGAACGCTTCCTTTTCTGTCCTACTCGACATCACTAACCTTTTCCAATTCTTCTAGCAGCTCTTCTGTGGTGAAACTAGTTGGCTTCAGACCGCTATCATGGAGGGATGCAAATTCATTGGCCTCAAGCAAACGATGACCACTTTCGGAAGGAAACGACAAGTGCCCAATATAACATAGCTTGCTCCTTATGGCATATGATGAGGATTTTTGTCACAATGGAGACAAGCAAAATAACCACTTGTGGTACGGCTCGATAGGGTACTTAGTCTTTGGATAATCATGAATGCACCACAACACTGCAAGCCGCGAAGCTTAAAATCTTTTCCGGTGATAGCATCAAGAGTATCCACACCCTTCCATAGCTCAAGTAATTCTTCTACAAGAGGCTGCAAGAAAACATCAAGGGCCTTCCCGGTGAACGAGGACCGTGAATCAACAAAGCCATCATGAAATTAGATTCATCCATGCATGCCCAAGGTGGTAAGTTGTATGGAATCACAAAAACAGGCCACATGCTATAAGATGAACTCATGTTGCTAAAAAGGGTTGAAACCATCTGTGGCAAGTCCAAGTCTTATGTTCCGTGCATCTTTAGCAAAATCAGGCCAGCGGTTGTCAAAATCTTCCCATGCCTTTCCATCTCGCAGGATGGGTCATTTCCTTCTCATTGTGTTTCCTCTTCAACTTATGCCACTGTGCTTCCTCCGATCTTTTCTTCAAACAAACATCCTTTGCAGCCTGGGGACCAATGGAAAATGCCGCAATACTTTTGCTTTGGAACCTTCTTTCTCTCATGATCTTTCCATCTTGATGCCCCACAAACTGGACAACTATCCTTTTTTTTTTTTCCTTTCTAAATAGCACACAATTGTTGGGGCACACATGAATTGATTCATAACCAAGTCCTAACTCACGTAGCATTTTCTTTGCTTCGTCATATGATTTTGGAATAGTATTGAACTGTGGGAAAGCTTCGACAAGATCTTCATAATTGCGAAAATGCTGAGTTAGTGATCCTATAGTATGACTTCACATGGAGCATCTTGATTACAAATGTGAACCTTGTAAAATTCATACAACCAGGATATAGCTCACGCTTAGCATCTTCAATCAGCTGTTTGAAATGTGATGCAGCACCCTCATTTCCATCTTCAGGTCTAGCCTCATTTCTATGTTGTTCAGACCTGACGAGTTCCCCTAACATCTCTTCAAGTCCACAACCATCATTGGTGTGCTCAGGTACATAAGAATCAACATTTGCATCCTCAACTACTTCTAGTTCCTCCAAAACATGAATATTTCTGTCCTCTCCATGATCTATCCACCTGGTATATGTGCTGGACATGCCATTGAGCAGTAGGTGCCTCTCCACTTCATTTTGCTCTAAAGATTTATAGTTCAGACAGCTTTCACATGGGCACAAAATCTTCTCAGACTCAGAGAACCTCTCTTTGACAAAGTTCATGAAAGACCGGACACCACAAATATACTGAGGGGTAAACAGAGCACCATGAATCCAACGTCTATCCATCTACATAAAAAATTGCAGAAAATAAATAGATCAATCTAACCTAGAATTGCAGCCACTTCATCAACTAACAAAGTACAACACTAATTTAAACTGCGTATCTAAATCCATTACCAATCGAAATCAGTTGAGGCAAGATCTCTGGAGGTGGGCGGCGATGGATCCCCTGCAGGGGCTTGACGGAGCCGCTGCCGTGGCTGCTTCTCGGTATCGCCTTCACCATGACCACCGCGACACACGCTGACAGCAACCGGGACGACCGGCGTGGATAGGGGCAGCCGGCGCGACAGGGACCACAAGGCTGGCACTGACAGCGGCGGCTGGCTGGCGAGGACAGGGGCAGCCAGCGCTGAGAGGGATGGCCGGCGAGGACAGGGGCGGCGGGTGGTGCGCGCCCCGTGGCCGGGCGTGGATAGGGGTGACGCGCACCGGCGGCCGGCGAGGAGGACAGGGTCGTGGTCTGGACACGGTCGCGTGGTCTGGAGACCTGGACATGGTCTCTAATTTGTTTCAGAACTATCCTAATTTGTTTGCCACCGGCCAAAAGAATAAACATATCACTAGTATACACACATGAATCAGTATCCATGTGGTTAGGTCCTGCTGTTGTGATCGACAGGTCCAAGGTTCAATTCCTAGCAGCGGCATTTTTTTTCACATTTACCTTCCTCCCACCTTCCCTATTTACATCTCTCACCGACAGGTAGGTCCCACCATCCCCCCTGCCATTCAGCATGACATGTAGGAACGATGTGGACGCTCACATCACAATGACATGTTGGATGTTGTATCTGTGACCTTCCAATAAATCCGTCATGGATGACTAAAATGATCCGTGACGTCCAGTTATGACGATAATTTAACCAATCGTCATACATCTATCACCTTGGATTTGGACCGTCACAGATGACTATATTCTGTGATGATTTCTTAGAAGGTCACAATTAAACCGTCACGTAAAGCCAAATTTCTTGTAGTGTGATTAGACCACCGCTTATGCGCTTGCTCTAGGTTTAGGCCTAGTGTTTAGTGAGGTTTGCATACCTCTTACCACTCTGTGCTTGCGCGCACCATTGTTGTACATCAGAGGGGCTTGTAGTCTTGCGAGATCACACCAACCGCGTTTGTGTTGTGGCCGCCACCGTGTACCGGAGGGAACAAGGCCCACGGCGTTTCGGCTGGAAGCTTGATAGTGAAGACGGCGGTGAGCGGTCTGGAGAGGCACACCGGAGACCCACTTGCACGTGGAAAGGCCTGGGGCTATCCACGGAGTTACCCGACCGGAAGCTTGGCCCTTGCGAGGGGCTCCAACGAGGACTAGGGGGAAGCTTGCGCGCTTCTCGATACCTCGGTAAAAATACCGGAGTCGTCGATGGGAGTTTGCATATCTCTACCTTACTCTTTAGCTTCCGCATTTACATTGTTTACTTAACTCCTTTTGCGGTAGAGATATCAACACACTAGCAAAACCGTAGTTGCACATTTAGATAGTCTATCTTTTGCATAGGTTTTGCTAAGAATAGAAGAAGAGGCCATAGTTTAGAGTTAGAGTTTTAAGTTGTCTAATTCACCCCCCCCCCTCTTAGGCATCACGGTCCTCAACAGGGAGCTGGAGCCATGTCGTCGCCACCCAACACCGTAGCTGCAGGAGCGAGATTTGGCCCTAGAGGCACTAGATCCGGCACCAGGGGGTTTCGGATCTAGCTGGCCGGCTGCCCAGCATGCCAGAGTTGGAGAGGGAGAGGGGGTGGGGAGGAGTTATGGAGAGGTGATGGGGGCGCGGATGGAGACCAAGTTGCTAGGATGCTGCGCGCCGGTGGGCAGCGACGGCGGTCGGAGGGGAGGAGGGGGCCTGGCGCGCCGGCGAGGTCGCCCCTCGATGCGCCCATTGGGGAAGGAGCTCAGGGGAGGGGGGAGGGGAAACTGAGGAATTCCCTTAGTGTACTCATATTCATCGTCATCGTCTTCATCTTCATCCTCATCATTGTTGCTTAATTCGTTTTTTAGATGTTTGTTCAGAAAAAAATATCCGTTCATGATCTCTATGTCCGTCCATGAATTTTCTTCGAAAGGCATCATCATCACTTCCCGAGGTCACCTAGCAAGACAGATAACAATCATTAGAAAACCAAAAGAATAAAATTTGGCATATCTGATGGTAGGATCCATTACCTTTTGCATCTTTGATGGTGGGATGTTGATTTTGTAGTTTTATTTGGCACCTTGCAGCTAATGTTGTGCCACATAGGATGACTAACATGGTGCCATGCCGGATGAAATCACTGTGTCTAAACTGCATAGGGTGCAAAAACAAACGGTTTTAAAGTTGAGGATGACGAAAACCTGATTTTTTGATGAGGGGGAAAAATCGGACGACCACAAAAGTTGAGGGGTTTAAAAGAATATTTCCTTTTTCTTTCTATCAATCATCATCCTCTCGCTCTCTCATTTACTCGATGTTCACCCTTATCTCTCTCATTTCTTTCCAGCGATAGCTGGGCGAGAGCCACTACAAATCGTCTAGTTTGGCTCACAACAAGCACCCACAGGTATGCTAGACTCTACTATTTTATTCCTGTTGTGTGAATCTAGTCTCCCCAAACCCTAATGTAAAGCTATTTGTATATACAAATTTGACTCAATTAAGTATATACAAGATACCTACTAACTTTGAGTTTTCCTAAAACAATTATTGGGTGTACATGGGTACACGTGCTATGTTTGTAGAATTTTATAGGGGAGTACAAAACAAGTGTCTTTGTTCGATACAGCATGTGATAGTTGATAGATGAGGAATGAGATCTGTTTGTTTGCCCATCTGATGGGTACAGTTCATTCGGGGCTGATATATATGTACGCTAGATTTTGGTTTAACATGCGAATTTCATATGTCCATCTACACCTTAACTAAAAACTAGCGAATACTGTTTAAGAGACTAAAATTGACACTGAGTAACTTGTAAAGTGCAAAGGAAAAATATAATTAGACTATCTGATGAAACAATAGTAGCAGAATACTAATAACACTTGTTCCATACTCTATGCTTAGCATCTCTTGTATTTATAATCTATATGTCTCATTTTGTGGTTCCTAGTGTTTGAATGAGTTTTTCTTTCATATTTTTTTGTTACTCAATTTCATTGAACTCTTTCCTTTAAAACAAATTTGCTATGTTTCCTCTTATTATCCTGATATGTGAAGCCAGAGAAATTTGTTGTCATTAACATGTCATTGTTAATAGATTATATAGATACCCAAGTAGATATTCATGCATGTGATGGGTGCAGTGCAGCTTTAAAATGCCCTAGACTGTTTATAAGAATGTGAGGACATGTCTGTTTAAAATGATCAAATCTCATTGTTTGTGCACCTCCTTATGCCTATATGACATGTTTGTGCTATGAGGATTTAATCCATCGAGTATTGAATAGCTCATGAAATTCTAGCATGTGGATGTTGATCTATTTTCCTCTTCCAATGACTCTCATGCTCTCGACCTAGAGTGACTCCCCTCTTGAATCTCTCAAATCCTTGTACTATTCTTGTCCTCCTATCTTCCTCATTAGTCATTAGTCAATACTTATCTTTCCCTCGTAGTTGACTTCCAGCTTTCCAACAGACCTGAGGAGACCGGTGTTTTGTCTTGGCTGCATGTTATTAGCTGTATTATTATCTACGATACGAAAAGGGTATAAATGATTTTTTTTTCAAATTTTGTGATTGAGATGATGAAACACCCTGCACCTCATCCTCATGTGGTGCTGGTGTCAATGACCTTGCTACCCTCAAATTGGTCTTACTTGTGTGACAGGTTGGTAGTTTATGCTGCATTAATCTAGTGAGAGGGAAGCATTAATTCTAACAAGATTCACACTAGCATATGACCTAAATTTTGTTATTCCATTACAAACAACAAATGAACAATTTGTCATATATGGTAGAAAGTTTTTGGACATCAAGATGTCTTCAACATTTTTCCCTTTTCCCTAGTAACTTCATATGCAACTTATAGCAGCGGTGACCTTTCCCAAGCTTATTTTGTGTGTATTATGGATGTTTGAGAATAGCAATGTGAGAGCACTTTTCCATTTATTCTATTTGACATAACAACAACAAAGCAAATTTAAGATGCTTGCACTTCTGCATCATTCTGCTTGTTGCCCTCTCCAACGTATTGTTCTTTTGAGATGCATGAAATAAGCATATCAAGAGAGGGGGTGGGGTGGGGTGGGGGTGGGGGTGCACAGTCGTCCTGGCCACGGTCTTCTGTTTTCATCATTGGTCATTTGTGAAGATATTTAGTTAGTTTCTTTTAGAATAAGTCCTCATTCATGGGAAACCGAAATATCATCAGAATGAATATTCAGGGAGAACAGAAAAAATGTAAAAAAATATCAGTGTTAATAGGAGGCCTATGTTTCCTAGTATTTTGGAGCAGAAACTGTTATGTCAATTTTCTATCCACCTAGTTGTTCAGTATGTTTGGTTTTCAGCTTTTGCTAACTAAAACTGAGTGAGGGTGTACTATAGGGAGATATTTGCACATTCATTCCCATCGCCAAACAGAGGTCGAGTACTTGACCTTTTGATGACAGAAACCATTTGGGTTTCCTTCACTATCATGCCTTGCTGCAGTTTGATTTCACCTGTTCGGGTAGATTCCTTCACATTTTCTTTGTTTGTGACTGAGTTCCAAATCACAACCCTCGAGTCAAATCTCATTTATGTCTTCTTTTATACTAGTACACTATGCTATTTTAGTATAGTGTTAGTGAGTGCAGTTCCTTAAAGTGCTCTTTTTTGCAGAATATGATGGTCCTGCCAGGGATACATACCTGCAAGTATAATTTATAGGGTTGCACTGTGTATTTAGACTTTTGTACGTTTAGGTGGTTACATAAATAATGCAATATGTGATGAGGACAGTATACCTATTTTGTGTATATATAATTCCTTTTGGGAGTGAAATATTAGCTTTTCCTCTATTTTATTTTTCATATCATGCCCACCTGAATTAAGCTCTAGTACGTCGAGGTGATTGAATTAGATATCAGGAAACTTCAATAAGTTGGTGAACCATAGTGCTTGCCATATATATATTGTGCACATTGTTGCTTGTAAATGTTATATGTCTTATTCTGTGGTTCACGCATGTGTGCAAAGCAATAAAATTTCTATTTTGTAGAAGTCAGTTTCATCAATTCGTTCCCTAGATAGAAACCTTAAAACATTCATCTGATAGTCATAAACTACAAGTTTGTACAATCAACATGGTATTGTTAGCTAACCAGGTTATACAATTGTGTGCCTTACTTAAGTTGATCATGTACTCGAGTGTTTGATATTTGATACATTTTGGAAATCGTCTTGAGAATTTTTTAGTGTCATCTATCGAAGCATTGTTGGCAACTAATCGTCTAAAGGAGGCAGGCATAAACTGATTTAGGTTGATATGGGAAAACCGGTTTAGCCAGTTTTAAAAACCGCTAACTTTGTCGAAAATGCAAAATGGACTTCACCATTGCATTCTTCTCATTGAGCTGATTTAAATGCACATATAGGTCGCCCAATTTGGAGTCTAGATAAGGCAATTACAGCCTTGGCAATATCCACCCCATGCATGGAAGCCGGTTTCCAACCGGTTTTGGCAAGTAAATCTGAGTTTAGAGTTGTATTTTGACACGATTTGTAAGGGTTTTCGACCCCTTATGGGATAATACCATTCCACCATATATATATAAAGGGTCGCGACCGATTGAGCATAGGACAATCACACCGATCAATCTATAACTTTACTTATTTTTATCATGTCTTCT